CGCCTGTCTCGCTGCCGGCGTCCACTTAATGAGCGTCTTTTCTTTAATATCGCCATGCAGTAACTCGTTTAATGGCGCCTGAATTTCCACGGCTTTTGGCAGACATCTCCGGTAGAAATTAATCATTCCCAGATATCGCCTCAGTTCTTTCGCCGTCTTCGGCTCCTCGAACTCCTCGATCGCCCATACGCGCGCCGGCAATGGTCGTGTGCCGTGTCCGCTCACTTCATATCCGAGGAATTCGACTTCCGCTTGTCCGAACACGCACTTTCCCGGATTAATCACGACGCCGTATGTTTGTAATCGCTCGAACAATGTTTGTAGGTGTTTGTTATGCTCTTCGGCCGTCGTTGACGCGATCAGAATGTCGTCAATGTACGCGTAATAAAAGTCGAGTCCGCGCAAGACCTCGTCGATGAACCGTTGGAAAGTCTGCGCCGCGTTTCTCAATCCGAACGACATAAACGGGAACTCGAACATGCCGAACGGCGTAGTGATCGCGGTCTTCGGAATATCACTTTCCGCCACCGGTATCTGGTGGTACGCGCGCACTAGGTCGATCGTCGAGAACACCCGTTTGTCTCTTAGTTCCATCGTGAAATCCTGAATGTGCCGGACCGGGTACCAATCCGGGATCGTCCGTGCATTTAACGAGCGATAGTCACCGCACGGTCGCCACTTTTTACCTCTCTTCGGCACCATATGTAGCGGAGACGCCTAACTACTTTTCGACGGTCTCACGATACCGAGCTCCATCATTTTTTGGAACTCTTTTCGCGCTGCGGTCAATTTATCCGGCGCAAGTCTCCGCGGTCTGCACACTACCGGCGGCCCCGGGGTCGTCTCGATAAAATGTTTCGTGTTATGTCGCACCTCTTTCGGGCGCCCGTCAGGTCGTACAATGTCCGGATATCGCGCTAAGAGTTTATGATACGGCGTCACTCCCGTCACCGTTCGTATGGTCGGCATTCCGCACTGTGCACTACGTCCCCCGGCTACGAGTCCCGTCGCCTGATTGACTAGCCGACGATTCCGCAAGTCCACCAGGAGTCCGTAGTAAGACAGAAAGTCCGCGATAATCGGCCTCGACACATCTGCGAGTACGAATCGCCACGTAAAGTTCCGTCGTAATCCGAGATTTAATGTTAAAGTCTCGGTTCCGTAGGTATGGATCACCGTTCCATTCGCTGCGGATAACTCGTACGTCGATTTCTGCCGCGGCCCACGCACCATCCTGCGAGGAAAAACGCATAGGTCTGCGCCTGTATCCACGAGGAAGTTAATTCGCGTGTCGCGGTCAGTTACAAATAGACGGCGCGAATCCTGGCCTTGATCACCGGCCGTCATCAGTGACGGGCCATCGCGTTTTCCTGCGGCTGTCCGGCACACGGGGGCTCACATCTTCGTGCGTCCGGTCCGAATCTCTAATGGTAGTAACACAGATGGTTTGACGCGTGACCACGGACGCGAGAGCGCGATCGCGAACGCTCCCGCCTGCGACGACCACCGCCGTCGCTCCGGCGAGGTTCTCGCTCTTCTAACGCCTCGATGCATTTTCGCAAGCCAGTCATTTGTTCCGCGAACTCTTGCTGCATGGCCATACGCATCTGTGTCATCTGCACATTGATCCTCGCTTCCAATACAGCTATTCCGTTTCCGTCGGCACCCGCGAACGCCGTCGGCCGAGCCGCTTCCGCGACGTGCACCGCGGGCGCTCTCGTTGCCTCCACGATCGCGTCCGCCATATTCGCGAGCGTCTCCAGCGTATCTCCCACGCGCGTTACAAGATGTGGCTGCAAATAAACGGGTAGTCGACTCAACCAAATGGTGCGCAGGACTTCATCCCCGACGACATTACCGGCGAGACCTCGAAGGTGCCGCAAAAATTGTGTCGGTTTGCGGTCGCCTATCTCCTCATACTTCAGGAGCCGACGCGTCTTGTGCTCCTGCGACAAGCTTAATCTTTTGATCAGCTCGCATCTCACAGTCTCGTACGCGCGTTCCGCTGGCGGGTTCATTATTATGTCGCGTACCTTCATCGCGTGTCGCGGACCGATCGCCGTAAGAACGTAACCGAACTTGGTCGCGTCCGTAGTAATTCCAGCGGCCTGGAAGCTCCAATCTATTATATTAAACCACAATTCCGGATCCCCGGAAGTAAATTCCGGCATCCTCATGCCTACGCGATTTACTTCGGCGCCCGCCATGAACAGGCAAGGTCGTTCAACCGCTTGTTGCGACGTCCCTGGCACAGGCAGTGCATCTCGTCTCGGCTGCTCAATTTGTATTAACGGAGGGGCAGCCTCATCGTCGCGCGTCAACACCATACTGTCACTTTTCTATGCATTCTCCAAAATCCGTATCACGATTTTTGGCAATGTCCACAGCACTTTGCGTCACCTTTTATCACGTCGGGGTCACCACTTTGAGAGCGCGTGTCTTAGTTCGATAATTAATGTTCTGCCAATATCGCGAATCAGGAGAGGATATCTTAGACGGAATAATTATTAGATGTTATACAGTATATTGTCTTTTACTCCGTTTATTCGAGTCACACAAAGAATATAAACTCTTTACTCTCCACCGAGGAAAATCGTGTATCGCGAACGCGAGTCAAATTCTATCTGCCTTTCGAGGCCGCGCATTGTCTTGCTTCTCTCCATTTTTCCACGACCTTATTTTTATTTTTAGGTGATTAACCTATCTATTATTTTGAAGAACTTTCGCTTTTTATTATGTTCGGAAATCGAAATCTACCTTCGTCATGTTAGTCACCTATTTGTTTATTTATTATTTTGTGTCCCCGGTCGCGATATTCTTAACACACGTCGCTTGTAATATATTTTTATTTCGTGTAAATTTTATTTTATATATATTTTAATATGCTTGTGGCATTTATCGCCACAGTTTGTTATATTCCAATACATATTGTTGCAAAAAGACGCCTCAATGCAAATGTTTGCTATAATCGGAGAAACGAAAAAAAAACATTTTGTGGCTGCGTTCTCATTATTTCTCACGCGAATGGGCGATGGAGGGGCCCATTTTATTCTCGATATTTAAAAAAATATTATATAATATTTTTTCATTATCGAGTTACATATAATTATCAATATAATTACTTATCATTCACATGTGTGTGTATAAATATATTTACTGAGCATTCACATGTATGTATAAATATATTTACTGAGTGTTTTAAATAAAACGTTACAATTTTTTATTTCTAAAACTATAATTTTTACTATAATAAATTATTGTATAAGTAGAAACTTTCAGACTTTTAAATCATAAGAAATTAATTATATGTATAATCATATTCGATTATTTCTCTCACACATTCTGTGATTATAATTAATCTCTTACGGATTAAATATTATATTTATTATAGATATTATAGATTTGACTAAAAACTGTCATTTGATTAATGTGGTTTTCTGACAGGTAAACCTCAAGATCGATTAATTCTGAATTACATGCAAGAATCGTCAACAAAGATAGATTGGCTGCACATTAAGATTTCTCAAATTTTGAACAAATTGTTTCCCAATAATGACGCTTTTGATCAGCCTGAAAGATTGTATATGTAGAAACTTTATACATATATATGATTATACATATAATTAATTTCTTATGATTTAAAAGTCTGAAAGTTTCTACATATACAATAATAATAAATTATTGTATATGTAGAAACTTTCAGACTTTTAAATCATAAGAAATTAATTATATGTATAATCATATTCGATTATTTCTCTCACACATTCTGTGATTATAATTAATCTCTTACGAATAATAAAAATTGTTTTCATTGGCAAGTGATAGTTTTTGGAACCGACTATTTTTATTCAAATTTATTAATTAATATAATGAGAGTTACTAATGTTATTGACAATGATGACTTTTTTATATTATAAACAAATTACTATAAAAGTTCGATTATATAACTGTGCAATATTCCGTGCTACGCGGAGTGTTTAGTTAGTGCGCGGACGCGAGTGTCAAGTTTAGGACGGCACAGAAAAAAAAAGAAAAAAATAAAGAAAGTTCACGGCACACAATATATTTTTACAAATAATTACACAGCGCAAAAGAAACGCTCTAATGCAAGTGAACTGCAATTAGAAGCGTGCAATGATTGCCGGAAGTGCAATCCAACGACAAAATCGATCTCCCGCGAGAAGTGCGACGAAAATCGAGAAGAGCGAAAAGGAATGCTGTCTGTACGCGCGAACGACCGTACGCCGATAGATCCGTTCGACAAGAGAGAGCGTGAACCAACGTGATTGTTTTCTACCGACCTTCGAGAGAGTTCCGAGGTAAGGAACACCGTGTTTGTGTTCCTTCCACATGACGATAGAATCCTCTCGAATGTCGGAGGACAAAATCACTTGTTGTCGTCGGTTATATTTATGACGAGACGGTTACCTGTCACCGTTCAAAACGACAGGTATTGCGAGCGTTAAAGACGCGCGCGGTCTTGCGATATGGCGGGGCGCGTTCGCTCGCGATTGGCGCACGGGGATTTAGCGCGAATCGTCGCCAAATTCGAGCGGCTATTTCAGCGCAGTTAGCTGCGCTTGTCGCAAGGCGAAGAATGCACTCCGAGATGCATTCCCACACACCCACACACACACACTTTCTCTCTCTCTCTTTCTCTCTCTCTCTCTCTCTCTCCAATCCGCAACATCCCGCCCGCCTTCGTCGGGAACACGCGACGAACTATCCTAGGGTTGCTAGGGATAGTGTGTCGACTGGTTTTATCGTCGCGGCCGCGGATCGAGCGCGAACGCGAGTTTTGACAGGCGAGGTTAGGAGCCCCATGTGCCACGTGCTGAGCGAGTGGAGCTGCGACAGACGACTAAATATGCGAGACAGGTAAGTATGAGAAGAGTTAACGCAGTACAATTGACAATAGTGAGACGAACGACTAATTTTATAACTAATTTTACAATATTTCACAGATATTTGCCGAGCGCGAGGTTGCACGAGACACGCGGTTACGCGGGGGTCCCGGACTCCACGGCGGCTACCGTCGGCAGTGGAACCAGCTTGACCACTGGCCGGGTCAGTTCACCGACGGTGGTGCGGACGTCCACCACGCGCACTTGGCCATCCTCGCCTGGGTGTAAGCGCGTAACTCGGGCGAGCGGCCACCGGCACGGCGGGGTGCTCTCTCCTTTGATGAGGCACAGCTGACCTTCGCAGAGGTTTCCCCGGGAGGTCCACCACTTGGGCCGTGGTGTGAGTCCCTGCAGGTATTCGCGGGTCCATCGCTGCCAGAGATGGTCCCGCATCTGCTGCAGAAGTCGCCACCGGTTCAGACGGTTAGTAGGGGCGTCCAAGAGGGACGGCTCCGGGATGCTGAGGAGAGGCCCTCCCACCAGGAAGTGCCCCGGCGTCAGGGCGTCAAGGTCGTCTGGATCATCCGACAAGGCCCCGAGGGGCTTTGAGTTTAGGCAGGCTTCGACCTCCGCGAGGAGCGTGGACAGCTCTTCGAAGGTGAGCTTAGCCTCTCCGATGGTGCGCCGCAGGTGATGTTTGACGGCCTTGACAGCCGCCTCCCACAGGCCGCCGAAATGGGGAGCCGACGGTGGATTGAAGACCCACCGAACTCCCTCGTCTGCTAGGCGGCCAACGAGGGCGTGGACTTCGCCGCTCGCCGCCCTGAAGAGCTGAGTTGTCGATCCGCACCCACAAAATTGGTGCCGCAGTCGCTATATAGGGCCGTGCATCTCCCTCGACGCGACACGAACCGGCGAAAGGCAGCGAGGAAGGCTTCGGCGGAGTAGTCGCTGGTCACCTCCAGGTGGACGGCGCGGGTACTGAAACATACGAAGATTACCAGGAAGCCCTTGTGAGCTTTGTGACCGCGGCCCACGTCGTCCTAGCCAGACCGGGCCAGCGAGGTCCACGCCGGTGTAAGGAAGGGTCGACTTGGTGTGACCCGCGTCCTCGGCAGATCCCCCATCTTCGGTTGCAGTGGCACCCGCCATCGCACGCAACAGAGGCAGCGATGTATGTGACTTCGTACCAGTTGACGGGCGCGTGGGATCCAAAAGCGTTCCCTGATGTTCCCCACGGTGGACTGGACTCCTCCATGCAGGGTGCGTTTGTGAGCGGCATCGATCACCAGGTAGGTGAGGCGTGATTCCGGTGGTAGGATGACTGGATGTCGCTGGTCGGCATCCAGAACAGCGTGTTTCAGCCGCCCGCCAACCCGCAGGACCCCCTCATCGTCGAGCATGGGAGCCAACTTCCTGAGTGAGCTTCTGGTCGCCAGCGCCCGTGTCCGATCGCGCAGAGGAGGAAGTTCGCGGTGATCCCGTCCATCGAGTCAGGCCCGTCCATCTCCTCCCACTCCAAAGATGGCCACTGACGATGGGGCCGCGGGAACCGAAGTCGCTGCGCCAAGGATTCCGCTATCAGCGGGTTTCTGAGCCCGGGTCGATCAACGCGCGGACCGCATGCCAAGTACCCACGCGGTCGGCCACGAATACACGGGCAGTTGCCAGAAGCGCCGGTCCACACTCCCGCGGTGGTCGCCTCGCGACGTGGACTGTCGCCGTCGGAGATAAGGATGCAGTCGCAGGTAAGGCCACAGCCGCAAAGGCGTCGTGCAACGTCGTGTGATGCCGGCCTGAGCATGTAGCGCACGTCTTGTGCGACTTACAATCGGCTAGCAGATGACGACCCAGGCAGTTCCAGCACCGCTGGTGAGTGTTGATGGCTTCCCGCTTCTCGCTAACCGTCTTCTTCTGCCACAATAAGCAATAAAGTGATCCTTTTTGCAGAGCGGACAGCTGCGGTGCGGATCAGGCCCCGGTACCCACATGGCTGCTGCGAGAGGAGCGGCTGGACTTCTCCGTTGGCTTGGCAGGCGCTACGGTCTTCACTGACTGGAGGACCTCCCAGGTCATCAGTTGTTCCTGGAGGAACTCCCGGAGCTTGTCGTAGGACGGAGGCTCCGACGACCTTCCGAGGGAGCTCTCCCACTCACGTCGAGTTTCAGCGTCCAGTAGTTCGACGACCAGGTGGACGAATAGATCTGTGCAGTCGGAGATCGGGCGCCCAATGCTCTTCAGTGCACCGACTGTCGTGAGCACGCCGTGGAACAGTCGGCGTAGTCCATCGGCTGACGGGGCCTTCAATCGCGGCAGCGAAGTGAAGGCTGTCAGGTAGGATCTGACCAGTAAACGTTTATTTTCGAAATACGTAGTCAATAATTCCCACGCATCCTCCAAGTTTTCTTCAGTAGAAGGCAGGTTGCGAATCAGCTGTTCAGCATCACCCTTTACGCTGGTTTTCAGGTAATGCAGCTGTTCAATCTTTGTCAAGGACGCGTCTCCTAGGACCATGGAGCTGAACAGATCTCGGTAGGCTGGCCAGTCCTCGAACTTGCCGCTAAACTGCGGTAGGTTGATCCGCGGTAAAGTTCGGCGGGACGGAGCCGTCTCTCGGACCCGTTTGCCGAGGGCGGGCCCCACAGGCTCGATGAACTGCTCCTCCAGTCCGGCGAGTTCGGAGCGCTGCCCATAATACGCCGTCTCAACCTTGCTGAGGAGGTCCTCGGTGGTGTACTTCTCCCGCTTGATCTCCTTCCAGAAGTGGGCGCGGAGCTCTTCATGCTGTTCCGTGAATTTGGCCCATTTATCGTCCAGGACGCGGATTGCAGCCTGGACAGTGTGGGCGTTCAATTTGCTCGCCCCGATCTTCTTCAAGTTCTCCACGCTACGCAGTATGCGTAGGTAGAGCTCATGCTGAGCGTCGATTATTTGATCCATGTCCATTTTCTTTGTCACAGGTCACTGGACACTCACACGGTCACGGAGCATGCACTCACCCCGACGGCGAAGTTCAATAGGTGCCGGGCGCGACAAATTATGACCTGTCAATGATCCGGCTCGAAGGACCAGCAAATGTGCAATATTCCGTGCTACGCGGAGTGTTTAGTTAGTGCGCGGACGCGAGTGTCAAGTTTAGGACGGCACAGAAAAAAAAGAAAAAATAAAGAAAGTTCACGGCACACAATATATTTTTACAAATAATTACACAGCGCAAAAGAAACGCTCTAATGCAAGTGAACTGCAATTAGAAGCGTGCAATGATTGCCGGAAGTGCAATCCAACGACAAAATCGATCTCCCGCGAGAAGTGCGACGAAAATCGAGAAGAGCGAAAAGGAATGCTGTCTGTACGCGCGAACGACCGTACGCCGATAAATCCGTTCGACAAGAGAGAGCGTGAACCAACGTGATTGTTTTCTACCGACCTTCGAGAGAGTTCCGAGGTAAGGAACACCGTGTTTGTGTTCCTTCCACATGACGATAGAATCCTCTCGAATGTCGGAGGACAAAATCACTTGTTGTCGTCGGTTATATTTATGACGAGACGGTTACCTGTCACCGTTCAAAACGACAGGTATTGCGAGCGTTAAAGACGCGCGCGGTCTTGCGATATGGCGGGGCGCGTTCGCTCGCGATTGGCGCACGGGGATTTAGCGCGAATCGTCGCCAAATTCGAGCGGCTATTTCAGCGCAGTTAGCTGCGCTTGTCGCAAGGCGAAGAATGCACTCCGAGATGCATTCCCACACACCCACACACACACTTTCTCTCTCTCTCTTTCTCTCTCTCTCTCTCTCCAATCCGCAACAATAACAGGTATAATAAACCTTAAACCTGATTTATGGCTGTCAATACCTAAAGCCGTAAATTGTAAAAAATAAACTAATCATATAGTTAAATGTCAGAAGAAGAATAATCGAACATAATGGATTAAATTTAAGGCTTACAGCATAAATTATTGTATATGTAGAATATAAAATTATTGTATATGTAGAAATAATCACTTGCCAATGAAAACAATTTTTATTATTTTATTATAAAAATAAGAAGACTGTGAACCTATCAATAATAAAATGTTTAATTCAGAATTAATTAATTATTTTTATCATAATAATAAGGTAATCACTAAAAATACCTTCTAAAAACCTTTTTAATGATGTAGATCTGTTTCGAGAATTTTTTTTTTATTTATTTGTCTCACACTATCGTAATCAGATTTTGTAAGTATATCTTGAGATTCTGGAGATTGCTCAAAAGTGGAAGCCTTTTCAGATAAATCAAAATTGTAAGAAGAATTTAGAGATCTCAAAGTTGATGACATTCATTGTCAGACAAGTTTTCTTTATTAGTAGATTTTGAAAAATAAAGGTACAAGAACATATAAGGATAGTCTACTACTATTAAATGCTGCAATAAAATTCCAGTAATTAGAAATACAAACCAGATTGTGTAGATTTTTCCTGCAATAATCGACGAACAAGAGTTGTATTTTTCTTTGATGATGTAGATGAAAGATTTGAATTAGCAAAATATTCATTCGTAGACTTAGCTGAATTCTTGGCTTTGCTACTCTCGAATAATTCCTTGAGCTTTGAAGATAGAATTGAACTAGGTTTTGGAATATTGTGTCTTTTCTTAAGTTTCTTTTTTTTTTAATCTTCAACATACTCAAATCTGATGAAAATGTTAGATGTTCAGGCACCTTTATACCACATTAAACCTCTACCATTACGTTGTAATTCAACTTTGCGTGGAGTTTGCAGTAAAGTTTTGTGAGATTTTGGTAAAAACTATGGAGGGATCGTAGTCCTACAAGAATTATATCAACTTTTCTATGTGCAACACCTCTCATTGCCCCTATTTCTTCACAAATTTTAATAGATATTTATCAAAATTCTGTGTTAATTGAATATCATTCTGATCCTGGAGATTAATTACAAATTCTTCCTTTGAATCAACATCAGTCTCCACATTTGGCTTAAAACTAACATTGTCTTCATCTAATTCATCATTATTATTGCAAAAGTTGTTTTGATTCTCTTCTGAATGAATTGATAAATTATCACATGAATGTTGATTATGACCTTCTAGTTCAAAAATTTCTAACGCATCATTAACTTGTGTCAAAGTCTGTCTTACTTCTTCGGTCTTAAGACGCTTTCTGACCTCTTTCACAGATGAAGCATGCAGCTTGCGTTTCATATTTTGCTTTACATACAATAAATAAATTTAAGAGAATATATTATATATACCTAAATGTGTATATGTGACAGCATAAAAGTCTGCAAATTTAATAAATAAGATAATATCGCAACAGTACTATATATAATATAAATATGACAGTACAACAAAACACAATATGAAAGTAAAAAAATTTAAAATAAATAGAAATATTATCACAACATGACAATACAACAATACATATACATATATAAAAAGAGAAATATTATTCAGATGAACATAAATATTCACTCCTCAGCTTTATTTTAACCTCTTTGTTGGATTTTTCTCATGTCAAACTATATGATCATTTTCTTCTATCTTTATAAAGAAAGTGCGTCAGCCGACACATATATTTATTATTCCAACGCAAGGAACTTTATTCCATCAACGATGTAATATACACAAAAGTATGTAAGATCTAACAAATATTATTTTAAAAATCTTAAAAATAATAAATTTGTACTACACAATTCTCTAATATTTTAACTATAAAACTTTAAAAATCAAGAGGTTATATTAATTAGCAATATAAATACCTTTAATGAATTCATTTCCTTCGTGTTTCCAGGCACAATTAAACCGCCAACAATCACACCACTAATGAAAATAGACCATTCGTCCTCTTCTGGATTTGTTCACGCTTGCTTTGTGCGTAGTACACGTGCACACGTGTCAAAATAAATATAACAATTGTATGGCGTCACTTTCGATTTCTAATTTTTTAGCGCCCTCTATATCCATGCAGGCCACAATGACGTCATTTTAACGTCATCGCAAAAGGCTTGATATAAATTTGACATTTTAAAGTCAAAATGACATCATTTTGGACACTATCGTGACTTTTTGTTCTACTTGGGAAGTCAATAATTGAACGGTTTACGAGATATTTTACATAATCTAACATATTTTGATATAAAAATAAAAAAATT